GTAGGGGGACATGCCCGACCTGAGGCCAGAAGCTCCCCACACGCTGCTGCTCCCCCCCCAGTGCAGATTGGGCGTCCGTGGGCTGCTTCCTCGGAGATCTGTCCTCCTTGATTCAGGAGGGACAAAAACACAGACACAATTAATCGTCGGCTCCCCAGAAAATTTGGGAAACTATGGGAAGTGGGTGGAAGACAAAAACCCAGAACATATGGGGAAAATATCGGGGAATCCTGTTATCGGTGCCTATTTATATTTGCGTGTCCCAGGGCCCCTGCATGGATGCTCGGCGGCGGGTTGGGGGGCACGGCCTCTCGGAGGGGCCCCGGGGGCTTCTCGGAAGCCCTCGCGCCGCCTGCGAGGGCCTGCCACCGCGCGTTCCCTCCCCCCCCCGGGGGGCGTCGCGGGCAGGGCGTGGCCCGCGCGGCCCGCCTCACGCGGAGCGCGCGGCTGCGGCAGGCGGGCCACTGGCGGGGGCAGCGCGGCAGCCGGGAGGGGGGCCTCTGCCCCGAGCTGTTCCACGAGCCATTCCCCGCCCCCCCCCCGCTTCGGTGGCAGCTCGTGGGAGCCCGGTGTGCCCTCCTGGTCCCCATCTCGAGCGCCGGCGAGCGCCGATTAGCGCCTGGAGTGGCCGAGAGAGCGCCGATTTGGCGTCGGTTCGCGCTGCTTCAGCTCTGATTCAGCGTGTTGGTTTGGCGTCGATTGGCGTCGACTCGCAAAAGCCGACAGGATGGTACGGGAGGCCCCCACGAGTTGCCACCGACCCCCCCCCAACCGCACCCCCTCCCACAGCGCCCCCCCCCCCCCCCAACCCGACGGCCCGCTCCCGGCCCCCCCTCCCGCGCCCCAGGCCCCACCCGCTGACGAGCGCGCGATGCCCCCTCACCCCCGCGCCGCGCGCAGGACAGCCCCGGGGTCGCGCGCAGGGGGGCGGCGGTTTTCTGGGGCCTGCTGCCGCGCGCAGCTGCCTTCGGGCCCCGCCGCCGGACGCCCCCTCTCCGAGGCTGGGATTTGCCCATTGACCACCGCCTGAGGGATCGATCTTCGGTGGCCTCGGCAGGCGGTGGATGTGGGCACACGTGTGGGGCCCCTGGGGCCAACATGTATCCATATATACACCGCCCTCTGGAGTCCCAAGACGTCGGTTCCACAGGCGGTGGGTATGGATATATCTCTCTCTCTATATATATATATATCTCTCTCTCTCTGCCTCGCACTCTCCCCGACATGTGGGCGCCTCCTGCGCTGGCAGGCGGCGGTGGAAAGGGCAGCTGCGTGAGCTGTCTCGCCAGCCCCCTCTTTGCTCCCCCCGTTCCGTCCGACCCGGGCAGCCACTCTCCTTGATTGTACCCCGTGGGATCCCCCTCTCGGGCGAAGACAACGCTGCACACACAACGATCCTGGCCAGGCCCATTCTGGGCCCAGGATCGGTGTATATGCCTTCCTGCCCAAACCAGGAGGGCGTCTGCGCCGATCCTGGGCCCACTGGCCAGAATCGGGTTGGATGCATAGTTGGCGTCCCCCTAGAACAACCAGCTTCTAATTACCCCCGACGGGGGGTCCAGACCCTCGACGACATGAATTCCACAACGTCGACCCCCAGAGGGCTCGGTCTATTCCCCAGGACTTGCTTTTCATGCTGAGTTGTTTTGTTGACTGTCTTGGGGCCCAGCGAGACCCCCAGAGGCCGAACACATGCACGATGACTGCACCCCACGACGGGGTATCATCCCCCCACGCTTAGCGAGCAGCTCGTCCGCGAACGACCCGTTTGCACCGTACCTCGATCCTCGAGGCGCCTCCCGAGGCGTCGTCGATCCTCGACCCAGGCGTGGTGCGGTGCACAGTCCCTCGGCCCCCCAGCGCCGAAGAGCTGTGCACCGTGCAGCGTTGGCGCGGGCCTGGAGGCAGTGCAGGCACGGTGCGGTGCAAGGGCGCCGTTCTCGTGTGAGCGCGCTGCCGCCCCTGAGCGGCCTCTCCCTTTGCCTCCCCTCCGCGGCCGCCTGCTTTGCCCTTCTCCTGCTCGTGCACGCTGGCCAGCTCGCTTCTCGGTGCAGCCAGCCCTGACTCGCCACCGACGGAAAAGGGGGCGCCGTTCTCGTGAGCTCGGGGGGATCGCCGAGCCGCCCTCAGGAGGCGCCCCGCGGAGCCGCGGAAGGGGCCGCGGGCGAGCCGGCGAGGCAGACGCTGCAGGACGGCTCGGTGTACGAGGGGCAGCTGAGCCCGGGCGGCGAGCGGAACGGCGGGGGCAACGACAGGGGGGGGGGGACGGACCCAGGGGGCGTTGTCGACGGAGTTTCAAAGTTTTCGGGGGTTGCTGTTTGTCCTTAGCAGTTTGTCCAGCCTCGAGATGCTCTCCAGCAGCTGTCCCCCCCCCCCGTCGGGAGCGTTCCAATGGGGGCCCAGGTTGTCCCGCGCGGCAGCCAGAGGCCCGAGTTACGGACCGAAAACCATTGGCGGCGGGGGGTAGACTCAGAGGGGGGGGTGCGCATCACCCCCCCATTTCATGGCGCCAGCATCGCAGAGCGGATTTCGTTCGGAAAACTGGAAAACTCCGGGAGGGGCCCGGATGTCCTGGAGAGTTTTGCTCAAGATTTCGAAGTGAATTTCGTGCGGATTTGTTTTGGCCATGAATGAGGACTACAACAGATCCACGCGACATTCACTTCGTTTTTCGCTCGCCGATTTTCGCTCGCCGTTTCGGGGTTCTGCATGTGCAGAGATCCGCGTAAAACTCGGCTGCAGCACACGTCTGCAGGGATGGTGCAGTGACCAAACTTGTCCACTGATCGCCGACAGAGGGCCTCATGGCGCACCCCGCCCAGGCACGGGCTGCTTCGCTACCGGGGGGCCGTCGCCGATCTGTCGGCGAGGAATCGCCGCTTCGAGCTCGATGCCTCCGCCTGCGCTGGTCCCCCCCCCCCCCCCTTTGGCTTGCCCCTCAGGCACGGCTGGGGCAGGATCTGCTTCGGGAGCGTCTACGAGGTCAGATCCCGGTCCAACGGTCTGTTCTTTTCAATCCTGGTATTTTTCCTTGATTTCGGCCTCGGGTCTGTTATCGGTCCCGGGGACCACCATCAAAAACGAATCTGGGAAGCAAAATTGCCCCCCGGGGAAGGGGTCGGGATCTTTGGGGCCGTGGACTGAAAAACATTTTGACGGATGCGCCCGTCGAATCGACGCGCCAATAACACAGGAGGCAGTAAGTAGATGTGGGTAATCGAGTACGAGGGATTGTCGGGGTGCGTTTTGTGGGGTGCATAACGGCGCGTTGTATTGTATGATGTCCTTATTTGTGCTGTGCTGTATGATGTGCGGCGTTGTGCAATGTCGTGGTTTGTGAGGGTCGTGCTGAGCGACTAGCTTTCGCCCCAGTTTTGTCATCCAGCGATGCGAAAACCAGTCCTTCTAGAAGCCACTACGCATATACTCCTGATGTAAGGTACCACAAAAAGGAATACTTTTCTCATCCACCACAGAGGGAGTTCTTTGTGAATTCATCACAACAAGAATACTTCTGTGATCTGTCACAAAGGAGACACCGGTGCATTCCCCCACAAAAAGAACCCTCTTGGAACGCACCACAATTTTGCACAACAGATAACCCCTTGTAGCTGGCCGTCAAAACAACGAATCCTTTTGTAATTGCCTCGGAGGAGAAGTCGCCCTCCTCCCCGTACAAGTAGGGGGAAAGAGGGTACCATCAAACCATGCAAAATTAACTTACAAAACGCAGCGAGCACTTGTAAATATACTGGAGGGGAGAAAAGGGAACATAGGACAACTTGCCGCGAACATCAGGATCTATTTTTACTCTGGTGCAATCATTTTTTGTTATAATCCTCTGCGCAATGACTCCTTGTGTAATCCGCCAAAGACGGAGTCCTTTTGTATTCCACCACAAAAGGATTCCTTGTGTAGCCCTCCACAACAGGAGTCCTTTTGTAACCGCGGCAAGAGGATTCCTTTTGCAATTCCCCGCAAAAGGAATGAATCCTCTTGTCACCCGCGCAACAGGAAGCTTTTTGTAGTCCGTCACAAAGGGGATCCTCTTGTACGTGCCTCGGAGGACAATTGGCTTTTTTCCTCGAACGAGTAAGGGGAACAGCGGAACAAGTAAGCACATGAAAAACATATGAATCCACAGCGAAAAATAGGAGGCATTGAACAGCTCTTGGGTGGAGGAGAAAAAAGTAAGAACAATTGCCGCGACAATCGGATTCCTTGTGTAACCCGCTGCAAAGGGAATCTTTTTGTTTGTAACGAGTCACACAAAAAAATCTTCTTGCAATCCGCCGCAATTCAAACCTGTTGCAATGCGCCGCAGTAGGGAATCCTTTTGTAACCCTCTACAAAAGGGAACCCTTGTGGCAAAAAGGAACCCGTTTGTAATGTGCCACGAAAAGAATCCGGTTGTAACCCGCACGAGCGCAATCGTTTTGTAATCCGCCATTGGAGGAATTTTTGTGCAACCGCCTCGGAGGAATTGGCGCCCTCCACCCCGAACAAGCAACAGGGACAAAAGCGAGAAGCGAACATAACACTATGAGCAACCAGTTAAACAGCAAAGCGACTAAGGAAACATGGAAACATTGTTGTGGGGAGAAACGGACAAATCGGAAACGTTGCCGCGACAGTCGGAATCATGTTGTAGTCAGTTATCAAAGAACTCTTTCGTAATCTTCAACACTTGGAATATGGTTATACACCGCGACACTAGAAATCTTTTTGTATAATGCGCCACGGCATGCAATCCTTTTGCAACCCGCGGCAAATAATCCTTTCGTCATGGCGCCACACAGCATATTTTCATATTCTTATCTTTCCCCGTTCAAGCGTTTTTTCCACCTCTCCTGTTTTTCGCTGTGATCCTGTCGTTTTTTCGATCGTTTCCAATTGTTCATTTGTTCCCCTGATTTGTTTGGGGAGGAAGGCTTCTTCTCCTCCGATCATATTGATTCCTTTTGTGGCATTTTGTAAACAATTCTTCGGGGGAGGATGAT